CCAAAGGTGCTTTTTTAGGAGGCAATTGGACTTCCTTGTTTTTTCTTTTGAAGATGTTTCACTTCTCATCCAAGAAGCTTCTTCAGCTCTGACTGGATGGTGGAGAACGGGAGGATTTATAGTCCTTGAAGACAGCTGGTCATTTGCATCCTTAGAGGGTCGTTGAAGCACTTGGAGGTTTATCAGGGTCCTCAGGGTCATCTGAGTAGTGCTCCTGGTTTCTGTAGTCTGCAATTTTTTCCTCTGGAAATCCATTCCTACTCCTACACCATTTGAAGGGTGTTCATCCCAAATTGTATAACTCAAAGAAAGCTAAAAGGTATATAGCTAAAAGGTGACCCTGAGACAGAGTTAAACTTCCAAATGCTTCAACAATTCAAGGATGCAAATGTCCAACTGTCTGCAAGGAATATTCCCCACCATCCAGTCAGAGCTGAAGAAGCTTCTTGGATGAGAAGTGAAACGTCTTCAAAGGAAAAAAAACAAGAAAGTCCAGGTGCCTCCTGAAAAAGCAACTTTGGGACAACCATGGATGACTGAGAATCTCTACAGACTTTTAATTCTAACTTTTCTTTTTCTTTTCTATTTTTTTTCCAGAAAATGCAGAGCTGGTACAGTGTAAGTAGATGATGACGGTGATTTTTTTTAATCCTGCCATTTTTATGTATAACTCAAAGCAGTCTATACGTAATACTCCTTCCTCTTCCCATTTTCCCCACAACAACCCTGTGAGGTGGGCTTTGCTGAATGTGATGGTGTGGCCCAAAATCACTCAGCTTCACGTTTATCGTCTCCTAGTTTCTATATAGTTTCTATATACCTTCAGCACTTCATCAAGTTGGCTGTTTAATATTGTTTTTCTGTCAGAGGGTTAAGTATAAAAGCTGTTAGAAGCATAAAATATTTCCTTACAAGCAGAAGGATGAGAATTCACTGAAAAGATATATTGCTTTGCAATATCCCCAAAGCCATGTGAGTTTTTAACTTAAAGTTCTTTCTGAGGGAGCCCTATAGATAACTGTGACCATATGGCCTTTATTATAAAGGGCAGTCGTTTATTTCAGGAAGCTGACCTTTAGATTTCTTTAATTTAATTATTCATTTTCTCGGTTTTGCTCTTGATTATTTTTTGGATAAAGCAAAATTATGAACCTTTCTAAAAATCCTTATGAACTCTTTCAGATTGGCCTCACTTTCAGGTTTGACCTTTAATTTTTTTCCTAAGAAAATATAGTTGCTTTATCTGTAGATTTTAATAGAATTCATTTTACTTGAATCACTGGATATATTTTCTTTGCATGTTTACCTAGAAACTGAATTCGTTGCTGCTTATCACACAACAGTTGTCTGAAAGAAATACAACTCTGCATTTCAAGGGACATTTTCTTCCCTTTGCAAGATAAAACAGAAAAAAAAGGAATTTATTTCCTTACTAGATTCCCACTAAGATTTAGTGGAAATCCTAGGTGAATTGTTTGGCAACACCGCCAATTCCCCAACTTTAACTTCAGTACTTTTGACATTTGCTGAAACCCAAAGTGCAAAAGGAGATTTAGAAATTCTTCTTCTGCTGTTGGCAGTGATGACTATATAAAGTTATCTTTGTGTTCAGTTTAGAACGGAAACAGACCATATTTAATTGCATTTGGGATTGGAAGACTAGCTTTGAAGAACTGTTGCTGTGTGCTACTGAAAGGCTGCCCTGCCATTTGTAGCTTGGGTTTGTTTGTGAAGTCAGTACTTAGGTATTTATTTTGGAAATTCATCCTGGCATCTGATCAAAGGATCCCCAAAGGCAACTTTCAGATTATTTATTTTAAATGACAAGAAAGTGTTGCCTGATAGAGTTTTGTTTTGTGGAAAACGAAAACAGTCAAAGAACATTTAAATAAACCAATTGTCAGGATTCTAGCAGTTACCCCCATTTAAATCATGATTCTCGAGCCAAACTTCCAAAACTTAAAAAGGATTTATTGGGAATTAACATGCTGGCACTGCCTGGGTGTAGCCAACTCTGAGACACATAATTCATCATCACCCTTGACCCTGGTTTTCCCTCCAACCCCTGGGTGTATCATAATTCATATTCTCCAGTGGGACACATCCATAGTCAAGATTCATCAATCATGCTTTCCAGTTCGAATTTTGCGGGGGCAGAAACTTTGGTCACCTAGTTACTATCTTTGAAAACATTTATGGAATGCACTTTCGGTTTGCAAGTGGCTGCACTGCTCCCCCCTCCCTTTCTGTTGGCAACTCCAAAAAGACCATAGAAATATTTTATGAGTTGACACCAATCTGATTGAGTTGAAGGGGAGAAGAAGAGATTGGCTTTGTCTGTCTAGTGACTGTTTGCAGTCACGATGGTGACAAGACAGCAATTTTGTGAATGATCGTTGCACTGACAAATCTTCGTAGGTCTGTAAAACCAAGGAACACTGAAAAAAGATTATAGGTAGTCCTCGACTTACAGCAGTTCATTTAGTGACTGTTCAAAGTTACAACGGCATTGAAAATAGTGACTTATGACCTTTTTTTCACACTTAGGACTGTTGTAGCATCCCCAAAATGAAACAAACAAAATGTTAAAGTTACGATGTTTATGTAGTTTACTTACCAAGCACGTCTAAATTATATTAAAGTATTCAAAATATCTTTACAATCCCCAAGGCATGTCAGTACCCCTTAACGTTTGGAATTTGAAAGTTGAAAAATTTGATGGTTATAGTGTCTTGGGCGTCATGTGATCCCCTTTTGTGATCTTCTGACGAGCAAAGTCAACGGGGAAGCCAGATTCACTTAACAACTGCACGACTAATTTAACAACTGCAGTGATTCACTTAACAACGGTGGCAGGAAAGGTCGTGAATTGGGGCAAAACTCACTTTACAAAGGCCTCACTCAGCAATGGAAATTTGGGGCTCAATTATGATTGTAAGCCGAGGACTACCAATATAAGCACAGTTGTGGTTTCATTTACTGATGGCTTTGCTTAAGGACTTGCTTGCCAGTCCCAATCGTGGTCACTAAGGACTCCTTGTACATATAAAATAGCCATTGGATTTTCTGGATTAGCTTGTTCACTTAATGACCTTTTGATTCACTTCACAACTGCCGTGACTCACCTTATGGCCATTGTAAACATGGTTGTAAAATCAAGACCAGGCGTGTGGTGCCTCAACTTAAAACTGCAATAACTGATGACTAGAATTACAAGCTTGTTGTGACTGCACTTTGAGAACTGTCTGTAATATTTATGTCGGCTGGTTATATCTTCTTTATAGCCTCCTTTTCAAGCAGTGTAAGAAAACACATATGACTTTCTCCCTGTTGTTTGTGTTATCTGTATAACAAATGTGTGAGAAGGGCACAGTGGGAGAGGATCAGGGGGTGGGCTGGTACCGGTTCGCACCGGTTTGCGTGAACCGGATGTTAATTTTACATCTGGTTCGCCGAACTGGTAGTTGCAACAGCTGGTTGGCCGTGCCCACCCCATCCCGCCCTTCCCAGGAGTCTCCACATGGCCTATTTTGGATCCCAGGTAAATGCAGGGCCTGCACAAAGGCTCGTGGAGGGTGAAAAATGGGCCTCCCGGAAGGCCGGAAATGGGCCTGTTTCTGGCCTTCAGAGAGCCTCTGGAGCCTGGGGAGGGCAAAAAACGGGCTTCCTCCACACAGCCTCCGGAGCCCGGGGAGGCCATTTTGCACCCCACCTGGAGGCTCGAGGAAAGCCTCAGGAGCCTGGGGAGGGTGAAAATACCTCCTCCACCGCCATGGTGCAGGAGGCTGACAAGGCCATGCCCACCATGGTGACGTCCACCCAGCAACGAGAGAGAGAGGGAGAGAGAGAGAGAGTTGAATTGGTTTTCCAGCACATTGCAGAAGGTTGGGTTGGATTGGATAATCCTTGTGGTCCCTGCCGACTTCAAAATTCTATGATTCTATTTTTTATTTTTATTTTTTGCGATCCTGGTTTGGTTCTTCACAATACAGTACTCTACTTGGCTTTAGATGTCCTAGGAACGTTCTTGAATGGCAGGTGAAAAATGCAGATTATAGAATAGAATAACAGAGTTGAAAGGGACCTTAGAGGTCTTCTAGCCCAACCCCTGGCACAGGCAGGAAACCCTACAACACTTCAGACAAATGGTTGTCCTGTCTCTTCTTAAAAACTTCCAGTGATGGAGCATTTAGAACTGTTGGAGACAAGTTGTTCCACTGATTAATTGTTCTAACTGTCAGGAAATTTCTCCTTAGTTCTAAGTTGCTTTTCTCCTTGATTGGCTTCCACCCATTGCTTCTTGTCCTGCCTTCAGGTGCTTTGGAGAATAGCTTGGCTCCCTCTTCTTTGGGGCAGCCCCTGAGATATTGGAAAACTGCTATCATGTCACCCCTGATCCTTCTTTTCATCAAATTAGACATACCTAATTCCAGCAACTCTTCTTTATATGGCATATAAACAGGCAGAAGAGTAAACAAATCATTGCTGGTTTGATTTGGAGCAGAGTTCAATCCTCACATCTGTTTCTGGGACTACAGTTTATAGGCATCTAATTCCACACCGGCTGTGTTCACATGGCATGCCAAGTTTTAGTAGTTTAGCATTTGTGGCACAGCCGGCTGCCCCCTCAATTTATGGCTCGGTGCATTGAACAGAGGCGGTGGTTTCATTCAGGAATCCAGTTAAGTTGTGTGAATGCAGCCATTGGCATTCCAGGCATGTTCAGGACTCCTTTCCCATACATCCCCAGTTAATGGCAGCCTCCCTTCCATTCCCCTGGATTTTTTTTTATTTTTTTTTGAAAGACAGGGCTCTCGGTCAAGATTATAGATTATGTTTTCTGCTGTTTTCTTTGGCTGGGCAAAACTTCCGTCTGTGGGCAGGAAATGGTTAAGTGCAGCCTGACACCCATCTCCCCACCCACCCCCTTTGTTTCCTGTAAGTAACACCCAGGCGCCCTCAGCCAATGGCCGGGCAGTGTAACTGGAGCTCTCCTTGGAGGAGGGGGGGGGGCTCCAGTTGTGCCTTTCAGGGCTGCACGGAAAAAAAACACTTTCCAGCCCCCCTCCCTTCTCTTTTCTGATGATCGCCAGTTTCTGCCCCGTTTTCTTTCCCACCCCTCTCTGCCAACAGGATTCCCTGCCTCTGCAAAAAAAAAAAACACCCCGAATCTTCTTCTACCTGCAAAGGTATCTTCAAAGGTCCTTTCGGGAGCCAAATTTTCTACCCCGGTGTTTTCTTTTTCCAAACTTTTAACCCTTCTTTGGATTCTTGTCCTTTGGACTTTGCACACTCTGTTGGCCTGTCCCTTTGTTTTTTTTCCTCCCACCCTTAAAACCCTTTCCTGGGCTGAGCCTGCAGCCATCCTGTTCCCTACCTTTCTTGTGCAACTGGCACTCAGACTTTTCCCATAGTTGGCTCATCCATCCTTCCCTTCCCCTCCCCGCCAGCTGCAACAGCTCCCTCCTCTTTGTCCAAAACTATCAGGATGTGCTCTGCAACCCTTTGCCTTCTGGATCATGGCTGGTCTTGCTCGTTATGACAAAACTAGGTTTGACTCACGGGCTGCTGGTGGCTGTTTCATCCAGATAAAGTAAGAGATACAGATCCTTCCTTCCTTCCTTCCTTCCTTCCTTCCTTCCTTCCTTCCTTCCTTCCTTCCTTCCTTCCTTCCTTCCTTCCTTCCCTCCCTCCCTCCCTCCCTCCCTCCCTCCCTTCCTTCCTTCCTTCCTTCCTTCCTTCCTTCCTTCCTTCCCTCCCTCCCTCCCTTTCTTCCTTCCTTCCTTCCTTCATTCCTTCCTCTCTCTCCACCGCTCTCCTTCATAAATCTTCTGGTGTTCCTCCTTCACTTTCCCATCAATTCTACAAATGGGTAATATGTAGTTTTCCTGCCTTAGAATGGGGTTCCATGGTATATGATTACAGGGCTGATAATTGGGGAGGCATGGAGAATCTGTCTGTCCTCTTCTTTTTAGGTGCACTTTTATATGCTTGGGGAAAGGAGGGAGGGAAGAAATAGTTTTATTTGGTTACAAATGAAAAACACTCTATGCAAATAGAACCGGAAATGGTGCAGTGCAGAGGTGAAAGTGTTGAATGGTGACCAGGGAGATCCAGGTCCTAGCCCATCCCTCAGCCCTGGATGACTTTGGGCTAACCAAGAACCAGTGTGGGAGAGTGGTGAGGATGCTGGGTGAGGAGTGAGAAGATCCAGATTCAAATCCAGGTTCTTGAGCCATGGAAGCTCCTGGTGGGACTTGGGATGAGCCCCCCTGCCTCAACCCAAGAGCCACCGAGGAGTAATAGAGAAGGTGCTGGACTAGGAATGGAGAGAAACATATTCTAGTTCTCAGCCACAGAATCTCCCTGGAGAACTTTGGGACAGTCTCTCCTTGTCAACCCTATCTTCATTACTGGTTTGTTGTGGGGGGAAAAAAATAGCAGAATGCTATGTATGCACCTTTATGCTTCTAAACGCAAGATATAAATCTATCAAGTAATAAGGGATTAAGGCAGCTACCCAGTTCACAATTCACGCCCTTGATTTTGTTCAGTACCTTTTTTTCTCTCTCTCCTTGAGATAATCAGCCCCTGTTCCACTTAGCAACAGATAATCAGCTGTTGAGTTCACACCACCATATAAAAAGACCCAACTAAAGAGATAACATTAGCACAAGGGTTTTGTTTCGGTTTTGTAGTTTAGCCTATGTTCTGAATTCGACCTGCTTGGCTCATTTCAGGTTCAGCATAGTGTATCCAGAAAGTGGGTTAGTTTAGTAACCAGAGTGTTGTGTGAATCTAGAAAAAATAATACAGTGCAAGAAAGCTATTTTCAGATTTCCATTAGCAAGCGCTGTGGGCAGTCTTTTCTTTTATTATACAATTTTTTACTATTCTATAATACAAAATACAAAAAGAATACAAAAGTAAATAGTAGGGAAATTTGAGAAGAAAAAGGGAGATGGATAGTAGCAAGAGGAAAAAGAAGAAAAAGGCATTGACTCCTTTGGTACAGTAGAATAAGGCATTAACATCTAACCTCAACTTTTTTACTTTTACATAATAGTATAAATTAGCCATTTTTATAACAACAAATCTAATCTGTAAAACCCAAAACCAAAGTTTCAGGAAGGGCAAGGTTAATGTCTTTTTAAAAAATATTAACAGACACAATCTCATTCTTTTGCAACTCTTGATCTTCTTGGTGAAAACATTGCTGTCAGACTTGGCTAGCAAATTTCTTTCCTAGAACCTACTTCCTTATAAAGTGGTAGAAATGACTACAAATCTTCTCTGCATTGGGCGTTTTGTGCAGAAAGGATCTAGCCCAGCAGATGTGACTTGTGTCGTTCGTTGCCAAAATCATCTGGAGTGTGAGCCAGGCTGGAAAGGCTGGTTGAGCTGAAGGTAAGAAGACCAAATCATCCTAAAGGCCTCTGTTTATGCATTGGCAGATGCTGAGTCCCACCTACAAGCAACGCAACGAAGACTTCCGCAGGATCTTCAAAGGGCTGCCTGAAGCTGAGCGTCTTCTTGTAGGTGAGGCCACTGGAGGAGATGGGGGGTTGGGAATGTTGTGCTTGGATCTAAATAACAGAGTGGGTGATTGCTGGAAATGCAGACAAAAACATGGGTGCCTTCTATCATACATGGTGGTTATGCCCGGAAGCGAAAAAATATTGGAAGAAAATACAAAAGTGGTTACAAGGAATTAACTGGAAGTCAAATAGATTTTGCTCCGGAATTATTTCTTCTAGGGATAATTAAAAGGAAATACAATAGAAGGATAAAGTATTTGGTGTAACGTGTATTGACAGCAGCAAGGATTGCCTATGCACAGTGTTGGAAGAAAGATTGCATACCATCCGAAGACTTAGTAATAAAAAAAAAATTGAGTGCACAGAAATGGCTAAATTGACTATAGAACTGAAAGGAAAAGAAAATTCTGAATAGTATGCAATATGGCAGAAATGGTACGATTGAATAGACAATAGAAATAAGAAAAGAAAGTGTATACAATAGATGCAAAAGGTATAGGAATAGAATGTATAGATTGTATAGGACAGGAAATGTAACTATAAAAATGTCATAGTACTGTTTAGTATGTGATTGAGATATGTAAAAAAGAAAAATCCAATAAAACATTTTTTTAAAAAAGAGTGGGTGAACTGGGCAAATAGAACCACTTATTTATTAGAGACTTTATAATAGTCAGAATAGGCTATGGCAGTGATCCCCAACCTTTTTTACGCCGCGGCCCGGTACCGGCATCAGCTGGGCGCTGCCATCTTTTTTTGATGAAAAAGTGCTTCCGGTGACCTCACCGGAAGCACTTTTTCATCAAAAAAAGATGGCGGCGCCAGCGCTTCCGGTGAGCTTTTCCGGGTAGAAATGGCTTTCTACCCTGAAAAGCTCACCGGAAGCGCTGGCGGCGCCATCTTTTTTTGATGAAAACGTGCTTCCGGTGAGCTTTCTACCCGGAAAAGCTCACTGGAAGCGCTGGCGCCGCCATCTTTTTTTGATGAAAATGTGCTTCCGGTGAGCTTTCTACCCGGAAAAGCTCACCGGAAGCACTTTTTCATCAAAAAAAGATGGCGGCGCCCAGCAAGCCAGCGGCCCGGTAGGACTTGTTTCGCGGACCGGTATCGGCCCGCGGACCGGTGGTTGGGGACCCCTGGGCTATGGTATTGTGTGTGACTTCAATGGAAGACTAAGTTGGACTTTGAAGAAGCAGGGGAGAAAGAGATGGACACTTTGGGGTTGGAGACTCCAACTTTGGACTTGGATAAGATTCCTGAGAATACCACAGATAGCCAAGAACACAAATGGACCTTCGAACAAAGCAAATCCAATGTTCTTACTTGAAATGATCAGGCTTAAATTATTCTACTTTGGACACATTGTGTGAAGACCTGGAGAAGACTCTAATGCTTGGCAAGAGGACAGTTATTAGCAAGGTGTAAGGACTCAGTTCGAGTAGCGATGGCTGCATCCTTGGAAGACCTGAAAGACCTGGTTAGGAGGAGATCATCCAGGAGAAAATCTACCTCTGCGGTCGCTAAGAGTTAACACCAACTTGAAGACACAATTGGTCATCACTCATCAGTGACTGCATAAAGATGGTGGAAGAAATCATTGGGAGAACAATCGAGAACAACTTCAGAATGTGTGAGAAATAATGAAACTGCAAGGGTGGGGGGGGGAGTGTTTTTCCTCTTCTTTCTTTCAGTTTGGGGGCTAGATATCAGCAGCAAGTCCTGTGGGTAATTTTCAACCCTGGAATGCTTGCCACTTCAGAGGTTTATGATAGTCTTCAAATAACATTCCAGAGGGTAGAACTAAAAGCAAAGGGTGGGAGGAATTATGAGGGGGAGAACTGGAGTTATCATTTTTAGACATGTTTTGCATGCCTCGTTTTTTTTTTTTTTTTTTTTTAAAAAGCACTGGTAGTTTGTAATCGTTGTTGTCACAGCCATGTTCAAACCCACCCCCACCCCCCCTTTCTCTCTCTCTCTCTCTTTTGGATTGCTGCCTATCTCTGGCTCTCAGTTACAAAGTCCACCGCTGCAGTTCCAAAAAACATAGTTGGTTTTAGCTTTGCGTAGGATAGTGTTTTGGTGGCATAGTATGCTGTGTGTTGGTTTAGTTTGTAGTTCAGAGGGTGGGACATAAAAATTGGTCTCAGCTAGATTAAGGTGTGAGCATAGCCAATGTATAAGTAGGCCTCAACTTGTAAGCAGTCGCTTAGCAACCATTCAGACATATGACAGAAAGATACTTAATGATCTAGATCTGAAGCTCCAATGGCTATTCCCCACCCTAACCCCCCGGGTCACATAAGCATTTTGGCCAAAAACAGTTCACATTTACGACCAATTGCAAGGTCTTGCCATCATGTGACTACAATTTACAATGTTTCCCCACATTGTCCACGGTGGACAATGGGTTCACTTAAGAATTGCACCAATTGCTTAGCGACTGCCCTATCCTCTTTATGACCATGCAAAAGATGTCGTAAAAATTGGGCATAGTCGTGCTATGATCCTCTTAATGACTGGGCAGGACGTACAACCCTAATTTTGGGCTCAGCTGCGGTCATAAATTGAGGATTACCTGTATCTGAAATAAAAGTATCGGGACTTAGACGAGTATCTAATTTATCTATGTTTAATTTTTAAATACTCTGTAGTGTGATTGTGATGTGGTGTTTGGGGCACTGTGCTGGAGTACCTTTCAAATTACATTGTATTTGTAGAATGCAATGACAATAAAGGTATTCTATTCTATTCTATTCTATTCTATTCTATTCTATTCTATTCTA